GGCTGTGGAAGTCCCCGCGGGGAACCATCGGCCTTCCAGTACCTAAAGGGGGCGCACAGGAGAGCTGGGGAAGGACTTTTTACTAGGGCATGTAGTGATAGGACGAGGGGGAATGGCTTTAAACTGGAAGAGGGCAGGTTTAGATTAAACATTAGGAAGAAGTTTTTCACTGTGAGGGTGGTGAGGCACTGGAACAGGTTGCCCAGAGAGGTTGTTGAGGCCCCATCCCTGGATGTGTTCAAGGCCAGGCTGGATGTGGCCCTGGGCAACCTGGTCTAGTGGGAGGTGTCCCTGCCTATGGCAGGGGTTTGGAACTCGATGATCTTCAAGGTCCTTTCCAACCTAAACATATTCTATGATTCTATTATTCTATGTTGTGAACCAGTGACATTTCCCACTGCAACCTAAACTGGAAGCCAGACCAAATACTTCCTTACTGGCTTTGTTTGAAACTTCTGAATAGGCTCTTGCTGATGAAAATCAAATGTCTGGCCCAGCTTGAAAACTGCCCCGCTCCTCTCTTTTATAGTAGCTTTCATGCAACAAGTAGATTTTGAACCGCAAAACAGGGATTGTACCTAAATCCAGATTTTTATTCTGATCTCTTACCATTGACTGAGCTATGACTTACATTCATCACTGAAATCTGATGCAGTGCAGACAAGAGGTGTCATATCTTCTGGTAATCTTCCTTGATTCCAAGGTTAGTTACATGTGACATCATTGAAGACTATAGAGCAACGCAGAAATGTTGGTGCAGCCACCCCTTTTTTCTGCCCATCATAAGTTGCAGGTCTGTTCTATGGCGAAAGGAGACAGTGCACTCACTTTTCCTCCCATAGATAAGGGTACTCTCCCTTAGCTCTTCACAGGACACCTGTGCAAAACATCACCACCCAACATATCACCAGACTTGGCTCTTCCTTCTTGTGTCCAGAGACCCCAAACACTTCACTTCCTCCTCAAGCCTTTTTGTCCAAAGGGATCTCTGCCACGTAGCTGGCACGTCACTGGAACAGGCTGCCCAGAGAGGTGGTGGAGTCTCCCACTCTGGAGACATTCAAAACCCGCCTGGATGCTGTCCTGTGCAACGTGCTGTAGGTGACCCTGCTCTGGCAGGGGGGTTGGACTAGATGATCTCCAGAGGTCCCTTCCAACCCTAACAAAAAAAAGAAAAGAAAGCTGCAAGTTTTCCCCAGCATAGGCCAGACTTTGCAAGCTCCCAAGCAGAGATAAAATGTCAGATTTCACTAGAAAGAGCTATGGCAAAGCTATCTCCTCACGTGGGATGTGTAACCTTACCCTACCTCCTCTGTATGAGATAAGAGAGCCTGAAAGCCCCGATTGTCTGTCACTGGCAGAACTGTTGTAGCGCAGCTCTGTACGAGGCAGCTGTCGGCAAAACTGTTGCAAAATCCATCTGCAAGGGCCTCTTGGATCCTTGCAGGATGCCGGCTGGCCACGAAGGAGGTGAGACCGCCAATCGCCTTGGACTTGATAGTGTGAAACTAAAAAGTGGTGGTCAGGGAGATTGTTATCCCCTTCCCGCAGGAGAGGCAGATGGAGCAGCTGTCACGCTGCAGAAAGGATGGGCCACCACAGAGATCCTGCTGGGGATGCTACCTGTGTGCTCTTCAAGGACTTCCTTACCAGTGCCAGCAGGGAGCATGCACCAGTTGTCATCAGCTCACGCTGGGAAACAGACAGCAGGACAGTGGCTTCCAGAGCTGTAGAGTTTCCATGTGGTGCTGGCGGCCCACCAAACAGACCGAGATGGCTCTTTGTAGTGAAGATGGATCCCAGGGCTTCTGAGAGTGCTGCTCCACCACAGCTTAGAGTTTGCTGTCATCCTGCCTCACCTCCCATGCTTGCCCTGGTGACTGTGTGATTGTGCGGCAGCCAGGCTGGCAAGCTGCTTCGGCCAAAGGCAAATCCCCTCTTTGGATGGATTAGTTTTAAATTGCATAAACCTGACCCAAAGGAAAAGGTGTGACTGTGTATCTGAGGATGGGGGTCTCTGACACCTCTCATTTAGATTATTTTAAGCTACATAACTGCATTATCTGTGCAAAACCTCCTTTTCCAGTTGCTATTGCCACCAGCTAGAAATAAAACATGTACTGAAAAATCAAAGAAAGCAGACAACTTTTCAATAACAGCCCCTATAATCTAGTAGGGGAAAAAAGCACACTGAAAAGAAAGACAGGTGGAAATTAAAACCAGATCAAACTGTATGGACCTTTAATTGTGAAAGCAGCTAACAATTGCAGCAAACTACCATGGGGAAACACGGAGTTATCCGTCTCTTGCACAATCTGAAGAAAGTCTGCAGGCAAGTGCAAGTTTTGGAAGGGGCTATGAGTTTTACGGCAGAATTATATTATCCAGGGATTATATGAGTGCTAAGAGGTGGTTAATGATCTGTGTTAGTCCTCAAATCTGTGATTTAGCAGGGGCAAACAGTACTGTCTGCAACTAAAACCAGTGGCAGTCAAGAGGCAGGGCTCACAGATGCAGACTCCCAAGGGGTTGGTCCAATCATGGTGTGACCACTACACTCCTCTGCACTGGTTCCTAGAGCCGTGGGTGACGAGGGAATGTAAAATAATTGTCATTTCAAAGTGAAAACCTGTAGTGGGGGAAAGTACAAAATCTGTGGGGCAAAGCCCACGGGCAGCTCAGCACCTAAGAGCTTTGCACAACTGAGGCTGCGCTCCCTCATCAGCCTCGCTGTTTGTCTGTACCCCCCTTTGCTGTGTTTGCCACCTGCAGCCTGGGGCAATGTGTCCTGAGTTTGCTCATGACTCCCAAATTAGAGTAAATATTTTTTTCAGGCTGATTTGCAAACCCTCATTCTCCCCCCACCTCCGCCTCTCCCCATCATCCTTTGCCTTCTGTACCACCGAAATTTTTGACAGTTCATTCTCCCCTGGGTTCCAGGAAACCGTGTGACTAATTAAGCAGTTGGGGCGAGCTCAGGTGCAAGGAAAAAACAAGTCAGATGACGAGCCGCTGCCCACTCGCTCCAGCAAGTGCATTCCATCTCAGCGTGTGTCTACCCTGCTACTTCGTAAGGGAAAAGAAAATGCCGGGCTTCCCTGGGCCG